TCAGTTTCTTATCTATAAAATGTGGTAAAAATAATTCTCCTCATGAAGTAGTTGTGAGGATCAAGGAGGTAATGGAGAAGAAAGCATTCTGAAAACGTTAGAATGTTATGATGTGAAGGGTTAGCAGCAGCACACGGCAACATTGTGCTTCTTACGTTAACCATTCACATATAATTTTGAGCATCTATATTGAAGGCACCAAATTAGATGCTGTTGGGGATACAGATTTGACATACTGGTCTGGGCTTCTGACTGGCTCCCTCAGACAGCTGAAAAACAGGTAATAACATGGAGCATTCCTAATAGTGCGCTTCTATTTTGACTCTCCCCTGACACAACCTTCCCTTAATAATGTTCCAGAGGACAGCCTCGTTGGTTTGTCCACTGGCCACTCTTCAGTCTTCATCTTATATGACCTCCCAAACTGCGCTAGAGGTAGTAGAGAAAAGTGGATCAGAATTTGGAGTCAGGCTGCTGGAGTTTCCATCCCAACTTCTCTCTTTTTTTTTTTTCCCAATTGCGGTAACATTGGTTTATAACATTGTATAAATTTCAGGTGTACATCATTATACTTCTCTTTCTGCATGGATTACATCATGTTCACCACCCAAATACTAATTAATAATCCATCACCACACACATGTGCCTAATCATCCCTGTCGCCCTCCTCCCTTCCCCCTTTCCCTCTGGTAACCACCAATCCAGTCTCTGTCTCTGTGTGTTTGTTTGTTCTTGTTTTTATCCTCTACTTAACAGCAAGATCATAAGGGTATTTGACCTTCTCCCTATGACTTATTTTGCTTAGCATAATACCCTCAATGTCCATGTATGTTGTCACAAATGGCTGGATTTCATCGTTTCGTATGGCTGGGTAGTATTCCATTTTATATATTCTATACCACATCTTTTTTTGTGTGTGTGTGTGAGGAAGACCAGCCCTGGTCTTCTAACATCTGATGTTAGAAGCTAACATCCGATGCCAAGCCTCCTCTTTTTTTTTGCTGAGGAAGACTGGCCCTGGGCTAACATCCGTGCCCATCTTCCTCTACTTTATATGGGACACCGCCCCAGCATGGCTTAACAAGCTGTGCATCGGTGCGCGCCTGGGATCTGAACCGGCAAACCCTGGGCCACCGCAGCAGAGCGTGCGCACTTAACTGCTTGCGCCACCGGGCCGGCCCCATACCACATCTTCTTTATCCATTCGTCCCTTGATGGGCACTTAGGTGCTTTCAAGTCTTGGCTATTGTGAGTAATGCTGCAGTGAACACAGGGGTGCATGTATCTGTACGCATTTGTTTTTTCCTGTTCTTTGGATGAATACCCAGCGGTGGGATAGCTGGATCGTATGGTAGTTCTAGCCTTAATTTTTTGAGGAATCTCCATACTGTTTTCCATAGTGGCTGAGCTAGTTTGCCTTCCCACCAGCAGTGTATGAGACTTCCCTTCTCTCCACATCCTCTCCAACACTTGTTGTTTCCTGTCTTGTTAATTATAGCCATTCTGACGGGCGTGAGGTGATATCTCATTGTAGTTTACGGGCGTGAGGTGATATCTCATTGTAGTTTTGATTTGCATTTCCCTGATAGTTAATGATGTTGAACATCTTTTCATGTGCCTGTTGGCCATCTGTATATCTTCTTTAGAGAAATGTCTGTTCAGGTCTTTTGCCCATTTTTTAATTGGGTTATTAGTTTTTTTGTTGTTCAGATGTATGAGTTCTTGATATATTTTGGAGATTAACCCCTTATCAGATATATGGTTTGCAAATATCTTCTCCCAATTGTTAGGTTGTCTTTTCATTTTCTTGATGGTTTCCTTTGCTGTGCAGAAGCTTTTTAGTTGATGTAGTCCCATTTGTTTATTTTTTCTATTGTTTCTCTTGCCCGGTCATTTTCATGGTACTTGAAAATATGTTGCTAAGACCAATATCGAAGAGCATACTTCCTATGTTTTCTTCTAGAAGTTTCATGGTGTCAGGTCTTACATTCAAGTCTTTAATCCATTTTGAGTTAATTTTTCTGTATGGTATAAGATAATGGCCTACTTTCATTTTTTTGCATGTGGCTGTCCAGTTTTCCCAACACCATTTGTTGAAGAGACTTTCCTTTATCTGTTGTATGTTCTTGGCTCCTTTGTCGAAGATTAGCTGTTCATAGATGTGTGGGTTTATTTCTGAGCTCTTGATTCTATTGCATTGATCTGTATGTCTGTTTTTGTGCCAGTACCATGCTGTTTTGGTTACTATAGCTTTGTAGTATATTTTGAAATCAGGGAGTGTGATACCTCCAGCTTTGTTCTTTTTTCTCAGGATTCCTCTGGCTATTCGGGGTCTTTAGTTGTTCCTTATAAATTTCAGGATTCTTTGTTCTATTTCTGTGAAAAATATTGTGTCCCAACTTCTCTTATCAGCCACCTGACCTTAGGTCAGCTGCTTAACTTTTCTTTGCCACAGTTTCCTCATCTATAAAAGGAGAAATGGTTCCCACCTCAAAAGGTTATTGTGCAGTTTAAATTTGATCATGTATTCAAAGCCCTTGTCACAGTGCCTGGCCATAATTTGGACTTAATAGATGTTAGCATTTGTTATTAGTGTCTTTGTCACTCTTGAAACCTTCTCTTCCCTTGGCTTCCATGACATTCCACACTCTCCTGGTTTTCCCCCACTTCTCTAGTCATTCCAGTTTGCTTCTGCTCCTCTATCCAGCTCTGAAATGTTGCTGTTTGCTCTGTTTTCTCCCTAGGCAGTCTCACCCATGCCTGTGGCTTCTGTTGTCCTCCACACAGTGACAACCCTGAAATCAGTATCTCCAGTCCAAACCTTTCCACTGAGCTCTAGACCTATCTATCCTACTGTCACCTTCACATGTCCCTTTGAATGTCTTCCAGGCACCTCAGACCCAGCTGGACTTTCAGTCTTCCCCCCAAAACTGGCTCCTCTTCCACTGTCACCTGTCCTGTTGAATGGCATCACCATCCACCCACTGCCCAAGCCAGAACCTGGGAGTCCTCCTTGATGCTGCTTCTCTCTCATCCTCCATATCCAAGCCTATCAGTTCTATATCCAGATCATATTTTGAATGCACCCACTTCTTTCCATTTCTGCCACCACCACTACACTGTTCCGTGCTACATCCTCTCACCTGGATGGCTGCAGTAGACTTCTAACTGTCCATAGTCACTCTGCACCCCAATCCCTTCTTCACAGAGCAGCCGGAGTGAGTGATCTTTAAAAAAGTCTGACCACGTCACATTCTGTCGTCTCTCCATCATTATACACTTCCACGATTTACGTTCTTGGATAAAGACCGAAGTCCTTACTGTGGCCTACAAAGCCCCCTGTGGTGTACAAAGCCCCCTGTGGTCTGGCCTCTCCCCACAGCCTCCTGCTCTCTCTACTTCAGCCTCTCTGCCCTTGTTCAAAGGGTCCAAAATGCATCCTCCTTTCTTCTGACAAGGCCTTTGTTCCTGCTGTTCCCTCTGCCTGGAATGCCCCCTTGCCCTCTTTTGGCCTAATTAGCTCTTGCTCATCCTTCAGATCCTTACCTGGATGTCTCAGGGAAATAGTTATAAAATAGGTCATGGCCCCTGTTTTATGCTTTCATAGACCTTTCCTTTGAAGCTTTTTCATGGTTCTAGTTTCATGTTTATTCATGTGATCATCTCCTTAATGACATCCTGAGACCTCTAATAGTCTGTAAGGATAACTTCCTCAGGGACCACGGGGCTTTTTGCCCCTCATTTGGTCACCACTGAGCATATCGTTGGCATGGGAGGGATATTTGTTGAATGAATTGCCTGAGGTGGCCAAAAGATATGATGTAAGCAAGGGCTTTCCCTACCCTGTGCCTTCCCCGCATCCTTCCCTTAGTAGCCACCGTGGCTGCACTTACTCTAAACGGCAGAGAGGAATTGGTTCCAGACATTGGGTTGTTTTGGAAAATTGTCTGCAGGTGTTGAGGTGAGGAGTTAAAACTTTGTCTTCTGCTGGTGGAATAGCCAGAGTGGCTGACCCAGGAGTGCTCCTGCCCAGCAGCAGGTCTTGAGCTGCAGTCCTCTGTAGGCACAATCCAGACAGGAGCAAGCCCTGGAGAGAGAGGCGATAGAGGGAGGAGTGAGTTCAGCCCAAACTAATTATGAATTGCACTGAAATCTGACAAATCTCAATTTTAATCGTAAGTTTTTTTATTTATTTGTTTTTTAAATTTTAGAAATCTTTGAAGGATGGCATTAGCTAAAGATAACCATTAAGTATAGAGTGGAAAAAATGGAATACTTAGATCGTATCTTTTACTTGTGGGTGATTTATGCTGGGGAATGGGTGGATGGGTTGGCAGTTCCCCGAGAACTTGGAAATAAAGTTTGTCCTCTTTGAGTTAAACTAGTTAGATCTACATGTAATGAGAGCAGTCTCAGGTGCTTAGTTAAGAGCACAGACTCTTCTTGGGTTCAAATCTTAGTTTTGCCATTTATTAGCTGTGCACCTTGGGCAAGTTACTTACCCTTCCTGTGCTTCATTTTCTCGTCTATAAAATGGAGATACTGACCTACTGCCTACCTCGGAGTGTTATTGTGAGGGGTGAGTGAGTGAAGTCATGTGTAGCACTGGGTGGGAAGAGGGCCTCGCACAGAGTGAGCACTCATGTGTTAGCCGTTTGTATTAGCTATTAGGGAGGCACATGTCTTCCAGGGCTGAATAATATGTGAATTGATGATGGTTACATATGTAAAGAAGTAATGATTTTTTTTCAATTAAAAAATAATTTAGGGGCCGGCCTGGTGGTGCAAGCGGTTAAGTGCGCGCGCTCTGCTGCGGTGGCCTGGGGTTTGCCAGTTCGGATCCCGGGCGCGCACTGACGCACTGCTTGGCAAGCCATGCTGTGGCGGCGTCCCATATAAAGTGGAGGAAGATGGGCACGATGTTAGCCCAGGGCCAGTCTTCCTCAGCAAAAAAAAAAGAGGAGGATTGGCAGATGTTAGCACAGGGCTGATCTCCTAACAACAAAAGAAATTAGTTTAAAAACCAATATAATAATGAGTGGCCAGCAGTGAAACGGAAAGTGAAAAGTCAGTGAGGCAAAACTAATAGTGTGTCAGGGGGCCGGCCCCGTGTCGTAGCCGTTAAGTGCGCGCGTTCCGATGCTGGTGGCCTGGGTTCGGATCCCAGGCACGAACCGATGCACCACTTGTCAGGCCGTGCTTTGGCAGCGTCGCATATAAAGTGGAGGAAGATGGGCACAGGTGTTGGTGCAGGGCCAGTCTTCCCCAGCAAAAAGAGGAGGATTGGCATGAATGTTAGCTCAGGGCTGATCTTCCTCATTAAAAAAAAAAAAAAAACCTAATAGTGTGTCCAGATAAAGATACTGAATCTGGATTTAGTCGCTAGAAGGGGGTTCTTTGTTGTAGGCAGGGCTGGTTTGGCTGGCTCACCACTGCTGGAATGAAATTTCTCTCCATGGCCACTTATTTCCCTTTTTAAGTCCATGCTCACAGAACAACCTTCTAAGGCCTAATTCAGCTCCCTGGGACTCTTGATAACAAGAAGAGTCTGGAGGTACCACCTGTAATAGGGGATGTGGGCATTCTGATTTCAAGTGTCAATTCATAAATGGACAGTGGGGTTGATAAATGGTTAGAATAGACCATCATAGAATGTCTGCACCTCTCTGGTACTATGAAGTCCTATTTCTGGACCTAAAAGGCCAAAAACAAGCCCCAAATTAGGGTCATTCACCAAGGTGATACCAGCCTTGGAGCAGTCTCTGGGTGGTCAGCCAGGCCACCTTCCTCTGACCACAACCCCTTCCTCATTGCTCTCTTTAGCATTGACCTACTGGTGTGGAATTTTTTGCTTACCTAACTCCTTCCTTCTACTGAGGAAGAAATTGAAGGCCAGAGAGGTTTAATGGCTTGCCTCAGATCACACAGCAAGTTTGTTGTTAGCCAGTTCAAATTTTAGGTTTTCTCTGCCAGGCCAGGGCTCTTCTCCTGGCATTGCGTAGAGATTTATAAATGTTAAGGTGTCCAAAGCACTTTTTTCCTGGCACAGCCAGGAGAAGAATGTCTATGTGAACACAGCATTGGGTTCAATTTTCTAATATTAGTATCACAGAGCAACAATGGATGATTGTCTGCAAAAGGTTGTGACCCCATTCTTATTTGCTTACAGCCAATACAGGGAAATCTCAGCTGTTAAAATGACTGACTTGGTAGAGATGTGGCCTGAGGACGAAGCCATAGTCTGCTGTTAGTGAACACTAGTTGGCCAGCAGACTTCATGTGGATGCATATGCAGCCAGCTGTAGACTTGAGGCATAAATGCCCTTTCAGGGACACCAACTGGCAACTAAAGACCAACGCTCTCTTTGGTGTTTCAGGCTTTACATTCTATTCACTGAGAACCTCTGCTGGTTTACATACTTCTGATAACTCTTCACAGCCTATGGGTGACTCTTTCACCAGGCAGACTTGGCCCTTGGCGACCTGCCCCTGCTCTCTTCCACCATCCCAGCCTCCTCTCTGATCAGTCCTCACATGTGTCCTGCACTGCAGCTTACAGACCATACTGTATTCCTCCTCGCCATTTACAGTAATTGTAACTGCTATGCCTCAGTGCATTTGCACATGTTGTTCCTTCAGGCTGGAGTGCTCTTGTCTGCCTGGCAATCAGCCTGTTAGATTCAGCTGATACCTCCGTCCTCTGTGGAGGAGCCTCCCCAGATCCACCCTCACCCTCCCTACCAATCAGAGGAGACTTTTTCTCCCTCTTTGTTATTCTCCTCATACCTCCGTTATAGCCCTGTCAGTATTTGTTGACACATCTAACATCACTCTTAGAGTGTGAAATTCTCTAAGTCTGGAGCCATATATAGTTTGTCTTTGTACCCCAGAGCTTAACAGAGTGCCTAGAACACAGTGGGTACTCAATGTTAGTTGGACAAATGATATTTTTGTCAAATGACCACCTTTCTCTTTGGACACTTGGATAAGCGTCCAAAATGCACCATCACCATCTCTTTGCTCTACATTATTCTCCCAGGCAAGAACTTTTCTTTTGAAGGGGGGGCCTGGAATAAGACCTCTGTCTGTAAATGTCATTCCAAAGTCTAAAACCATCGAAGCTAGGGCCTCAAGGGATGGCATGCCTTCTGCACTGTGGCAGCCCACTGTGCATAATTTGCCTTATATTTTTTCCCCCAGTGGCCAGAATCCCTCCCCTGAGCAGTGCTGGAGGGGTGCTAACCAATTCTTTCTCTGCACTCCTCACCGTTACCGGGAAAAACCTCCAAGTACCTCACGCCAGGTTTGAATTGGGGTAGTTTTCTTCTGTATGTCAGCCGTCTTCTGGTCATGCTATCCTGAGGCTGCCCTGTAGTGATCCTGGTGAGATCAGAGAGCGCTCCACTCCGCTCCCGTCAGTAGCACCGACTCTGGCAGCAGCACCAGCTGTTTCTGAAGTTGGCTAATGTCAGCCCTTGTGTTTTATTTTGTTTTGTTTTAGCTTGTTTCAGTTCCAAAGGTGGCCTTTTCATGAGATGACACTGTGTTCTGGAATCACCTTTTCCCACCATACCCTGAGCACCACCTCAGTGTCACTGAGAAAAAGAGAGAGGTAACTACTGTGAGGTTACAAATGAATAAGAACAGCACCAGGAAGGTGAAAGTCCCCAGCGAGCCAAGGCTTTACAGAATGTCAACCACCAAACATTTATGTATTAAGCTGCATCCAGAATAAGAAGATGAACAACCTGTCTTGCAGTCATTTCCTCATTTGTAGCAAGGGAATAGTAGCTATCTGCCCTGCCTGCCTCTCAGGGTTAGTGTGAGAGTAGAGTGAAATCTAGTGGACGAGCACGTAGGAAAGAGTGAAGCAGTGGTGCAGTCTTCAGCGTGCATCAGAAACACAGGGGCGTATTGAAAAATGCAGATTCTTGGCCCAGTCTCAGTGATTCTTACTATGTAGGTCTGGGGTAGGGCCAGGAATCTTCATTTGCAACAAGCTGCCCAGGGGAGTCCAGTGCTACTATTCTTTCAACCACGCTTTCAGAAATACCCCTGTAAATCAAACAGCAAGTGTAAAATAGTTATTTGAGGCAACTTTAGTGTCTTAGACTTGGAATCCAAAGACTTGGGTTAAATCCCAGCTCTGCCAATTCCTAGACCTGTGACTTTGGACAACAACCTTCTCTGTGAACTTCAGTTCCTCATATGTAAAAAGGAGATGACAGCCCCACCTCACAGCATTATGAGAATTAAATGAGAGCAAATGTGAGCAAGCCCACCTCAGTGCGTGGCTCATGGAACTCTGTCAGTGTTTTGCAAAGTGAGAGCTGAGTGTCCACGACCTCTGTATCCTGGTGTCATATTAACAAACACCAGGTAAAAGACAGTTCTTGGCATCCATCTTAATCATCTATCGTGGAAATCTAGATAGAACCATAGAGATTTAGTCCAATCCCTTGTTTTATAGCTCATGAACTTGAAACTGGGAAGTGAGGATGGGAAGCCCAAGATGTATGAGGGTACCCAGTCACATGAAATGTATTTAGATTTTCAGCCCAGAAAAATTATTTGCCAATATACTAAGAAAAAAAAGAACAAAAAACTTATTAGCACAGTAACAGAACCACTGTTAGTAACTTTTGAGAAACCTTGGAGAATGGGGGCAATACCCCAAGTATAATGATTATTCGTTCCACACCTACTATTTACCAGGCTCTGGGGATCTATTAGTGAGATGAAAATGGAGATGGCTTACTGGCCCAGTTATCAAAAAGGAGGAAAAAGAAATCCTGGAAAAAGCAAACTCTTAGTCTTTTTGACTTGACTCCTTCACAAAACTCTGAGGGAATTTTGTGGACAGATTCTGATGGAATTCTGTGGAAATTTGTAGATGATGGGAATAGCTGGACAGTGAGCACTTAGAAATGGAGCTGATCACTAGGATTCAGCAGTAGTGAATTAGTCATGACTAGTTAGACTTGACTTCATGTTTTCACTGGGTTGCTAGTCACGAGACCCTCTCTTGATTTCCACAAGGCATTTGATAAACTGTTTCATGATATCCTGAATGTGGGCAGGAAATCTAGAAAAATCAGATGCAGGAGTTCAGCATACACAGCAGTTTTGGGCCCCGTATTGGAGAGGCAGGATTCCTGAACACCTTGCTGGGGCTCATGTTGAGGAAAGGGCATGAGATTTGATATCAGCAAACCTGGCTTTTAGTCTCAGCACTGCACTTCCCAGCAGTAACCTTGGGTGAATTACCTAACATCTCTGGGCTTCCCTTGCCCTATCTGTGCTATAGGTACTCCTCACAAGGTTGTTGCAGGGACTAAACTAGATGATGAGCATAAAAGCTCTTTGTAAACTGATATACCAGGTGTGGGCTTCGTGTAATTTGATCTGGAGTTAGACAGATATGGGCTCAGAGCCCTTCCTGTGTATGATGTGCTTGGGGACATGTCAAGGAAATCCTTTCCAGAGGAGATTGAGTGCTCTGTTTGAGTTGGGCCTGGAAAAAGGAGGAGACAGCCACCAGCTGGAGATGTAGGAGGCTGTAGAAGGAGCTAAGAGAACAAAGGCTTGGGGACTACCAGGGAGAGCCTACATGGGCAGGTCAGGAAATGGAGTGGGGCAGGAGGTGGCCAGAGTGGTGACCCTGGTGGGGAAGCTGAAGAGACAGCCCCAGGGGTCCTGAGTGCAGTGCACATAGGGAGGCTTTGCCTTTGGACGAGAGCACTAGGGAAAAAGTGTGAGGAGGTGTTTGCTCTATGGGACTGCTTTTTGTTGTTAGCCATTTATCATTTTAAAAAGCAACACTCAAGTGTAAGAAAAAATGTGAACAATATCAAAATGGTAGAAAATGAATGCTTTTCATCCCTGCTTGTTGTCTCACTACTCTAAAGGAGAAACTGATAACCATGTAGTGGAGTCTTCCAGGTAGTCTCTAAGGATTATGCACAAAGACTTTTTAAACTATCGATTATACTATACACTCTCTCTGACACTTGGATTTTTCACGTAACACCTTACCCAGGACAATTTCTGTTTCAGGACCTAGGATCTACCTCATTATTTTTAATAGCTGCATAGTATTCTGTTGTATGGATTCATTATTGTATTCAGCCCACCCCTATTGATGGACACATGGATTGTTCCTAATCCTTTAGTATTAAACAGTGCTGGATACATGTTTTGGCACATTGGTAGGAACATTTCTCTAGGCAAAGTTTCTCTTAGTGGAATTCTAGGACTCCTGTTTTAGAAAGATGATTGTTGCAGATGTGTGGAAAGTGAGTTGGAAGAGAGGAGGAGCTGAGGTAGGAAAAATGGTCGGTAAATGGGAGTGGCAACGCTCGCCTTTCAAGGTTCAGAAGCTGCAGAGTCTTTAGGAGTTTCCTTTCCTTTTCTGATTCCTGGTTGGAGTCCTCCCAGCCAATAGAGGGCCCCACACGAACACAGTTCCTTGGGCTTCAGTTTATCTGACCAGAGCTTTCTTCCGAGGAGAGGTTGGAGTGATTCACTCATTCACCACTCCACCCCAGAGCACTCACTTGCGTCTGCTGGCCTTGAAAGCTGTTGTCTCTAGCCTCTCACAGACACCTCAAAGCCCTGTGTCTCAGCTGGTCCTGAGGAGTCGGTTTGCTCGGCTCCCCGCCAGGTTTCCAACTTGTGAAATGTGCAGGAGATTAGCACCTCTCTTGCCATTTTATCCTGTCCATAACTGCCAGTCCAAGGATCCCTGCAGTTGCCTCTGGCAGCCGTAACTGCTGAATCCTCTGCCAGCTGTTCTGGGGACCTAAAAGAGCAGTATCCGAGGGCAGGAGGAGGGAAATATATCTTCCAGTGTGACCTTTCACTTCCCACTTCTGGGTGGTTTGGGCCCTTTGAAGTTGGCCCTGAGGAACCACACACTTGGGTCTGAGCGGCCAGCGGCTTATCACATCTGGTGATCAGTCCTTCAATGGTTCTTCCTGAAGTCTGGATTTATGGGGGTCAAATGGATTCCACCTAGTAGGGGCTTCTGCTTCAGCTCAGGACATGGGGAGATG